GATTGCAAAAATCTGGCCATCCAACAAAACTATGAGCCGAACACATAAACCAATCGAAAACAATATAAAAAAAGAATTCTCAGAACCAGAAACCCGGTTCCTGAAGTTTAAGGGGATTTAGACTGAAGCACGGTTTTTCAGACGCCGAATCTCATTTCATTATTCAAAGGCCAGAAGAAGGTCAGCCAAGAAAATTCATGTACATCGTCCCAGGCGTCCTATCTGACACACCAAAATTTAGTGGATCCCGTCCGGAAATGTACTCTAACACTTCCTCACCCTGGTCAAAGAAACGACTGGAGACATGCCCCTGCTCGTGATACCAAGGACTGAGGGACTTACTACAAGGCACATGACCATGTCGGGATCCACGGCTGCCGGCACGGCATTTGTCGACCTCGATGAGGTTCGCGTCCCCATTGACATGGTCGTCGGTGAACGAGGCAAGGGCTTCAAATACATCGTGTCGAACTTTAACCACGAGGTACGTCCGATTCTGGGGTTTGCCTCGACTCCCTTCGGGCGACGCTAACACAGCCAGCGGCTGTTTTATTGGCTTTCAAAGCTCTGCGCTGCGCGAGGGTGTGCCTCGAGGACTCGATTTCGTGAGTATATTTCTGGCTCTCCCAAGTTGCATCGTGCTCACAGCTGCAGCTACGCGTTGAGCCGAGAGACCTTTGGGAAGAAGCTGGTAGAGCATCGTACGCGAGAATTCCGCCCCACGAGGACATGATGAGATGCTGACAGGCCGGACCACAGCCGTCATCAGGTTCAAGTTCGCCAACATGAGCCGAGAAACAGAAGCTTTGCAGTCCTGGATCGAGGTAGGTCGACGCGGCACGCATTGTTGTGGAGTGGTCGCCGCTAACTTGTCGCCACAGAGCTTGATCTACCAGCTGTCGCAGCTGGCTCCGGCCGAGGCAGACCTCCTGCTCGCAGGCACGACGGCGCAGCTCAAGGCTCACTCGGGCATCGTCCTGGAGCACGTCGTCCGCGAGGCGGTGCAGATCCTCGGCGGCATCGGTCTTACCAGAGGTGGTCGTGGCGAGCGTGTCGAGCGCATCTGGCGCGACGTCAAGGCCATTACCGTGCCGGGCGGTAGCGAGGAGATCCTCCTTGACCTGGCGACGAGGCGAGCCTTGAAAATATCGGATGAACTGCGACAGGTGACGGGCAAGGGCGTCAAGAGCCGGATGTAAACAGGGTAGAACGGAGCGATAGAATCATCAGTGTACTCGAATCCATCGTGAGGATTCCACTTGGCATGATGTTGGCAAGCTGAGCTTGGCTGGGTACTTGTTCGGGCGCCGTTGGGAATCCATCCGTGCTGATTCGTCCCCCTTCTGACCACTGGGCACCGAGCATGAGTCGTATGCGATGAATGTACCTTTTTGTATCTTTCCTGACGCAAGGCCATGGGGATGCGGGGAAGGCAGGGGTGGCGCTCCATGCTGATGCCAGCCCCCCCCCCCCCTCCCCGCGCTGTGGCCACGACCTTTGTCGAGCCTGGGCGCAGCACGCTAACGCCTGCCACAGCTGGGTTCACTGACGGCACCCCCCGTATCATAGCGTGCGGTCCACTGGAAATCGCCGCCGTCTTCTCCCTGGTGGCCCTTATATGTCAGCATCTCAGCAGCCTTTCCCCTCCTTCTCCTTACGACGCCAGAATCTTGAAGCAGAGCTTCACTTTCCATCCATTCAAGCTCCAATGCCTAGACGGATATTCTACCATTGAGCACATCGCGCAACGACCATGGGGGCTCCAAATAGGTCTTCGATTGACATGTCCTCCAATGAACAACAAACAGAAAATCCCACGCCCTTCAAGCGACCTGCAGCTACCTCGTCAACTGGAGAGCCCGCCGCGAAAAAGAGGGCCAAGTACACCACCAACGCATGGTGAGGCGTCCCCTCCCAAGCTTATCCGCAAACCCGTATGCGTCTGCCGCGGCCGCTGCTGATTCGATCTCATCCAGCAAACAATGCCAGAAACGAAAGCTCAAGTGCATCAGAGCCGACAACCAGCTAGAATGCCAAAGATGCATCACCGATGGCGCCACCTGCGTCGTAGCACCCAACTCGACCACGCGGGCCAAAGACGTGGAAGTCGAGAAGGAATCGCAGGAAGGCACCATTGGAGATGACAGCAGCTCGTGGGTTCATCCATCATGTTGCCTCTCGACGTTCACGGGATGAAGACTCACATTGCCTGCGTATCACAGGAGAGAGAACCCCCAGATGGAGAACCTCGCCGAGGACATCTCACGCCTCCAACAGCAGGTTGCCACCCTGATCGAGGGCATGCGCGAACTCACCGAGCGAGGCCGCAGCAGCGACTACGGCGTCGCGCCCCTCGGCACGAATCAGCAAGTGAGCCCCGCGTACTCGGCCCACGCGAGAGCATCGAGGCACAAGAGCGCCGAGCCGATGCAGCCGCACTTTGTCGGTCCCACGCGCCCTGCCTTCAGCCTGCGCATCGCCGAGATCTCCCTGACGCGCATGGGCATCGGGTCGAACGAGGCCCTGCCGCCGAGCGCCCCGGACTCGCGCGCTGGCTCCCCGGGGCCGTCGTCGCCCGAGCCGCAGATGGCGTCGCAGGTTGGTCTGGGCTACGATCCCCTGCTGACCTTTGCGCCGGGGGAGATTCTGCGCCTACTGGACGTGTTCCAGGAGGAAGTCGAATCCGTCTACCCCTTCATCGAGGTGGCCCATCTGGCTGCCGGCGTCCCCCACGTCCTGGCCTTTCTTCGGAACCCCGAGGAAGACATGGCGCCTTCGATGCGGCGAGCCCTGCAAAAAGACATGCGACTCATGAAGATTGCCATCGCCACGGGCATCGTCATCGAGGCGCACGGCAGGAACGACGCGAGTACATTGCTGACAGACTCGGTCGAGGCAGAGATCAGCTACGCGTCGCGTCTCAATGTTGACCTCAAAGAGGTGCAATTGTGCACAATGCTCGTACGCACGAACGTCTCTCCATGGATAGCATATGCTAATCGGTGCTCTTCGTGAACAGAGCATATACCATTTCCACTGCGACGAGGAGCTCCTCGCCTGGCGTCTCATTGGCACCGCCGCCCGCACAGCTCTCGAAATGGGTCTGCACCGAAAACAGAGCTTGGTCGACAACTTTCAAGAGACGCACGACCGGAACCTCGCCGTTCGGGTCTTCTGGTGCATCTATGCCCTCGACCGCCGCTGGTCATTCGGCACAAGTCTTTCTTTTGCACTTCATGATCGCGACATTGACCCTGAGTTGCCCGAGCCGGTTCGTCTTCCACCGTCAGGCACCGGGTCGCATGCTGACCAAAGAAAGGGCGAGGGCTTCCAGTATCTCAGCTGTATGGTCGCCTACGGAAGACTGTGCTCGAAAGTGTGGGAAGCTCTTCCCCTCTTCGGCCCGTCGACCAATTGCATCCCCAAAGACACAGTCGGGTATCTCGACTACATGGCGCAGAATTGGCTGGCATCGATACCGCGGGAACTCCAGCTGCGACACCCACGCCTCGGCCTGGCCCCGCGCATGCAGCCTCGCGTCACCCACCGCCTGCGCACGCTGCTGTACCTCCGCGGCAACCACATCCGCACCATGATCCACCGCCACTACGTCCTCACCTCGGCAGCGATCGAGTCAGACCTCCAGGCTGCGCGGAACGTTGTGGATATTGCCCAGGACAGTCTCCAGGTGCTGGTCCACCTCAACGAAAGCAGTGACATCTACGTCCGGCAGCAGAGCGCGTTCAACTATTTCCTCCTCAGCGCCCTCGCCGTCATCTTCCTCGCCGTCTGTCACGCGCCCGCCACGTTTGCCGAGCCGTGCAGAGACAGCTTCCTCGCGGCGCTGCAGCTCGTCAAGGGCTTCTCCCGCCACGGCAGCGCCAGTCGTCGCCTGTGGAAGAGCATCCGGGGGCTCGTGCCGCGCGTCAAGTCGCTGGCCCTGCGATCCGAGGCGGAGAAGAGTCAGATGGAGCACGACAAGGAGAGACAGGCCGGCCTCGACGAGGCGCAGGCAGACGTCGAGACGGCGGTTGAGCACACGTACACCAGTGGCGGCGCGGAACGACAGCCCCTGGCAGGACATGTGGCCGCCGATGGACGAGGAGATCAGCCCCGGGTTGAGCAGCTCGATCCCGGATGCCTTCCACATGAGCGTCGACCTGATGAGCCTGTTCGACTCGTTCGGCATGCCACCGGATTCGGCCATGGCGACGGGGTCTTTTGAGGGCATGTTACCGATGGAAGGTGCGGATGAGATTTCACGGCGGTTTCAGGGTCTCATATGAGGAATGAATTGTTTTTCATCATTCTGTGCTTCATTCTGTGCTTCATTCTCTGCTCCATTCAGTCCTCCACTCCACGAGTCATACACTTCATCCTCGCGGCCCTCTTCACCCAAGAGCGTTCCTCACTCAAGAGCGTTCTCGAAATACACCATCATGGCCCCCTCGTGCACCGTCTTCACAAAAGCCTTGAGCTTCGCATGGCCCGCGCACTCGTTGTCGTAAAAGGCCATGTCCTCCGTCGAGGCGAACGTCGACTGCACGGCGACGGTATAGCCCTGGTCCCGCGGGTTGGGCGCCGCGACGCCGGCTTTGACACCGAGGATGTACGGCTTGCCGTCCTGTCGGCCGTCAACAGAGGCTCGGGGCGTACGAGGATGCGAGTCTCTGCGCCTACCTTGAGGGCGGTCTGCTGCATCGTCTTGTAGAAGCCTAGCAGCGTCGCCCTGTCTTCGTCCTTGGCGATCTTGAACAGCGTGATGCGATTAATGGTCATGGTGGCGATGTATCGAGCACGGTGCGTCTAAGGCTTGTCTTGCGGTTGTGGGTTGCCGTGTCGAGCTGTGTCGAGGTTCCTGAGGACCCTGATATTCAATGCAGCTTCGGATCACTTGGGCCATCTAGGTACCGAAGTACCGACGTACCTCGAGGTACATGTAGTCGTCCTTGACGATCGGCGGCGTGGCTGCAGGCCATGGGTTGCGGCGACGGACATGCAGGGGATGGTGGTGCCGTTCGGGAATTGGCGCTGCGGACTGCCGATGCTCGGAATGCTGCGCAATGCTCGGAACGGCGTCGGAACCAGCCCCTGAGGTGTGTCGCATGCCCTCACACTCCGCCCGCCGCGATCGTGCCATAGAATACAGCCCGAAAGAGACGCAGACTACCTTGCTATCAGTGGGGGGCGGGCCCTGATATGGATATGGAGTCTGTTGTACGTACCTTGAGCCACTTAGCGGATAGGCACATTCATTCAGTACACATTCACATGACACAGGGCAGAGATGGATAGCTTCAAAAATCTAGTAGTGCTTTATTCCGAGATACCAGCGTTCGTCTCAACTCCGCGCAACCGCAGGCAGAATCTGCCCCACACACTCGCCGAACCCGACGAGCTCGCCCTCGACAGACCCGGCCCAGCCCGTGATGGTGATGGTGTCGCCGTCCTCGACAAACTTTCGCTCCTCGCCGCCCTCGAGCTTGATCGTGACCTTGCCGCCCTGCGTCTGCTCGAGGAAGCTGCCGTGCGTGCCGGCGTCGAAGCCCGACACGGTGCCCGAGCCGAAGAGGTCGCCGGCGCGCAGGTTGCAGCCCGAGATGGTGTGGTGGGCGAGCATCTGCGGCCAGGACCAGAGCAGGTTCTTCGACGACGTCTTGGTGAGCTTGGTTGTGTGTCCCTTGGCGGCTGCCCCACGTTAGTTTGCGTTCGTTCGGGGAGATAGAGGGAGAGACGGAAGGGGGGGGACATACTCGTCACGGACACCTCGAGCTGCACGTCGAGAATGTTGTCCGTCCGGTCCTCCTGCAGGTACGGCTGCAGCGGCGTCTCGTTCTCGAGCCCCCGCGTGCGGAACGGCTCGAGCGCGTCGGCGAGCACGACCCACGCGCTGATCGAGGTGCCAAAGTTCTTGGCGTTGAACGGCCAGCGG